GTGCCACCTGTCGCCGCCAGCCTTGGGGAGATGGGTCATTAATATGGAGTGGCACCAGAGACTCCCTCCCCCCCATCCTTCCCTCCCCCGTGCCCCCCCAGCTGGGTAATTACCAGATGGTGGCGAAGCGGCCTCTATGGCGCTGCAGCACATTGGGGTAGTAGAACATGGCAGTAGATGAGGTTGACCAGTGAGCCCACACCCAGACTAAACACTTAGCAAAGCGGGTTGGGGGATGATGAGGACAGGAAAGACCCCCAAAAAGGGGTGAAAAGTGACTGGTGGGGGATTTAATTAGTAATGGAGACGGTTAAAACCTCCCTCCCCTAATGAGGTGGGGGGGAGATGAATAAACTAGAATATTAAATATTAAGCTGTTGGCCTTATTGAGGCTAATTAAAAGGAGGCAAGAGAGGACTTTGGAACTTAAAAGGGCTAAACTGACGAGATGTGCTCCTTCAAGATGCAGACTAGGAACGAGCAGGGCTATTAAATGAACATTAAATAACCTTGTATAATAATATTAGGAATATTAATTAATATTAACATAAACACATCAATGACTAATTAATGAATGTGATGGAATGAAGAATTAACCACAATACTAAATGAGAGATAACAAACTTTTAAGAGTGACAATAGTTACCCAGCACCCCAAGAATTAACAGGGGTTCATAACCGGGAGAATTAACAGGGGTTAACAGACAATTAATATTCGTTAAGACAGGAGGCAATTAATAGCAAGTGCTGAGAGGTTAATAGGACGATTAGCAATAAGCAAGGGGGGGATTAGTGACAATTACTTAAACGAATTAATTAACTGAAACTAATAAACAGCTAACTAATTAAAAGCTAAGACAGAGGGGCTGTATAAGGGCTAACAGGGACCCCAGTCAAATATTTCAGCTAATGGGAAAACAAGTAGGGGAACTGTTGATTAACTAATCAGCAATACTAATTAACAAATTAAGTAATTAACAAAACTACTGTTGCTGTAGGTGTCAATAGACAATGAATTATGCTAATATTAAGCTAATTAGAAGCTAACATAGATAATGGCGGTGGGAATTAATTATTCGCATCCGAATAATTAAAGACGTTGCTGATTAATTATTTAAATTAATGAGGTCGGTGGATGACGAGACCCAGCGCCCGGCACCACAGCGCACAAGGTACAGCTCTGTCGCCTGCCTCTCCGCTATATAGCGCGGTCCCAGCCAATCGTCGCGCTCTCCTGTCGGCTGTTCTGTCGCGTCACAGCCAATCGGCGTTCTCCCTGGAGACCGTGGCCGTTTGCACCGAGCTGCCGGACTTCAGCCAATCAGCTTGGCCCGCCCACGTGGGGCTCTTTCTGTCTGCCCCGGAGACCGCACGGGGTCCTGGCAGCTCCCAGCCAATAAGTGACTAGAGGGCAGAAACACGTGGTACTCCGCCTGCTCTGCCTTTGAAATCTTCCAGGGATACTCGTGACCTCACCGAACCCAGCCAATGGGAAGAGTCCGGTCTCCCCGGTCTTGTCCAATCACGGGGAAGGGCCGCTTCCCGCCAATTTCTGAGGGGCGAGACATGTTGGTGCGCGCTCTCTCCAGAAGCAAACCCTATCTACACGCTAATATATGCGGGGGCTCATGAATATTTACAAACCTGTAAGAAATTAGCGCGATTAGCTAAAGAAGGCTGTAAGGAATCTTAATTAGAACAATTAACCAACCCAATTAACAAAGCAACAGACCAGCAGCAGAAGCTGAGCTCTTTAATCAACGATGAAAGAAAGAATAAATAAATCACCTAAAATATTCTAAATTAAAGTAAAATGATATGCACTTACTAAATATAATGAAAAAAACCCTTATATAACCCCTTTAAATGAAGAGTGAGACTAAGTTATAGTTATATCTTAACACTAATTATTGCTAACATAATTAACTGTCACAAAAGTCATATTAATGTGTTCCATCACTGCTAATTATTTTCTGTGGTTAAATTCTGCCATTGTTAACAATGAATTCTAGCCATGAGGACGGAGCCAGCCGCACGTCACTGTTAACAGAAGAAATGTCCCCTCCTTCACTAATGATGATTTTTCACCAATTGACTTAAAATGATAATCCCAAAAAGTTCATTAAGAAATTACTACTGTTGAATAGGGAATACTGATTTAGTAATAAATTGCTTAAAATAAATACATAAATGACTTTGTATTTAACAAATGACTAATAATAAAGAAAAACACCCTGAGATGGTCACCAAATTAAAAAGAAGTGTACTCCAACTAATGAGGACCTCATTGCACAGCCACTGGCGGGAATATTTGAACACTCGTGGCGCACGGGCCAAGTCCCGGAGGACTGGAAAAGGGCCAATGTGGTCCCCATTTTCAAGAAGGTGTGGTAAAAATATGTTATAATCTAGTCATTATGATTTTGCAATAACGTTTGTGTAGCAGCTGTGTGGTAAAAATGTCTCATCTCACTACACAAAGGCTTCACAGCTGAGAACTGTTTAGCTTCACTACACAATTGCTTCTGCTAAGGTATGTAGGCCAATGATAGATTTACGAGTAGCACTAAACTTCTGCAGACAGAGCCAAGAACAGATGCAATAAATAACTCCTTACGAGAGATAAGAGAAGAGGGACAGGGAAAGATGCTGATGTAAAGAACTCAGACCCTGACCGAAGAATGACCGAGACAGGCTTAAGGACGGCCCCAGGGAGGAGATTTAAGATGTAAATGAGACATGTATGTAAACCGTCATAGAACATATAACTGCTAGACATATGTTGCAAGACGTAATACTTGGGCTGCCAATAATTACGCGACACGTTAAAATCTTTTGTTTATGTTAGCTATAAAAAGGAACCCCAGACTCTGTTTGGGGTCGACACGGATTTGAGCAT